AGATAATGAAACAAGTGGCGATGAAGATTCAGATGTTGATGAAATGATTTGTTGCTAAAGTTTTATTTTGTCCTTCAAAAATTTTTCGACAATCTTCTTTATATTTTTCTTGATATTCCATTTGACTATAACGATTACCACGAGCAAATTTTGCCATAGAAGCTAAGATAAAAACAAAAGATATACAAAATCAATTTTAATTTATCTTAATACTTACCACCATCTTCTCCATCACGAGCACGTTGTGTAGACATTGTTCGAACAATATCAATAATTTGCCATCGAGAAAGATTTCGAACAAAACTATCAGATACACCAAATTTATTTAGAATTTTTTTTGCATCTTTCAAATGAAGACGACGTAAATCAGCATCTGTTCCAGTGACCATTTTCTTTGATTGAACTGCTTCAGGTTCGACTTCCTAATAAATAATATATCATATATTTTTATGTAATTGAAATAGCTAAGAACGTACTCGAGCATTAGGTTTATTTGAAACACGAACATAGGAAAAACCTTCACCACATCCAGTTGGATCAGCAAAACCACGTAATTGAAGCCAACATTTACCTTTAAGTGAATCAAGATATGCTTTTGTTGTATGCCATGGCGCACATTTAACCTAGAAGAGAAATAATTCCATTATGAACGTATATCTATTTTATTACGGAGAAGAAAAGAATTTTAACATACTTCATCTTCAATTTTGCTTTGATCATTTTCATCAGCAGCTTCATCTTCAACAGCAGCAAATAAAACTTTTTCACCATAACCAGCATCTATTGGAAAATGGTATTATCAATAGTCAAGAAACTCTTAGTTTTCAATATCTTCTTACCTTTCAATCGTTGTTCTGCTGCTTGCATACTATAATAAGCACAACATTGTTCTGGTGTAACAAGTTGTCGAATTTCTTCTTGACTTGGTAAACGAAAATCACTTCTTAATACCCACCAATTACAATGAACACCTTTGGAATATTAATCAATAATAATATAAATTATAAAACTCTTTGGAAAATAAATTACCTCCTGTACGTTTAAAATCTGAACTCATTTTTAAACGTTTTCGAATACTATTTTCTGCGTTTTGAGGAAAAGCTTTGCGAACATCTTCCATTTTAATTCTTGGTGGTTTATCTCGACTTTTCCAAAATAATCGAAATATATATGCTTGAAGAAAATCTCTTGCAAATATATTTGCACGTTTAGAATTTGGTCCTGGAACTTCTTGTAATGGACATTCTTGTCCAATTGTAAAAATATTTTTCACATTACGTATATGATAATTTTGTTTTGTACGAAGAATTAAAAAATCTGTTGGAAGTAATTTATGAGGAAATATTGGAGCACGAAACATATGATTTTCAAACGCCTATTTATTTAATAAATAGAATCTATTTAAAAAATTAATTTGCTTATTTTTACTTGTAAAAGTTCTCCAGGAACCATATCCGCTTGAAATGGTGATGAATGTGAATAAGCTATTTCACCATAATCTAACATTGGTGGATTATCTTGTTTACCTGGTTTCTAAACAATTTAAATCATAAAGAGAAAAATCGTTTTGAAGATATAAACCTTTTTAAAATAATTTTTAATTCTTGTTGCCATTCCAATTTGATTAAGTAAAGATGGATATTGTTCACTATATTCAGCTAAAACTATATCACTATCTAAACCACTTAAATCTTGTAAACGACGCATATAAAACATTTCACCACCACCATATGCTTGTCGTTCTTTTTCTCTTTCCTAATAAAAAAAAACAATTTCTATCTTCAAAAAGAAAAATTTCATATTTACAGCTGCACGTGTATCCGATATTTTTCGTACTGATTGAACAGGATGATATTCTCCAGGTTTTAATTTTCCAAGAGCTTTCTTTATTGTTGGTCGATGAAAATGACGTAATTTTGTTGCATTTAAATGTGTAGGAAATAATTGAGCATAGAGTTCAACAGCAGGTGTAGCATGTTGAAGATTAAGTGTGCCAAGATTTTTTCCAACAGAATCAGTTAATCTTGGATTATAATATTCATCATTTGATAAATTCCAAAAATCATTTTTTGGACTATCTGTTTGATCATTAGCATCATCATCATTATCTTCAGTTTTTTTTAATAAACCACTACCAGTAAGAACACTACGTGTAACACGTCCTCGTGTATCCTTTAAAACAAAGAAAATTGATTTTAGTTTAGAAAAAGTTTTTCATTATACTTTATGTGGAATTTTGCCACCTTTTGTTGGACTAATGGAAGTATTTGCATCCGCTTTTTCTCGTGAATCTCGATTACGTTGTTGTTGACGTGTTTGACAATCACTTGGATCAGTTGGTATTTCAAAAATTAAATGATCATCATTTTCATCGAGAATTAATTCTGATGGTTCACGTATACGTTCCATATTCTAAAAAATGATAGAAATAATCTTCCATAGAGCAACAACAAAAAAAACTTACTTCTGGATCAATTATAATATCTTTTTCCCAATCACCATACATTAAATCATAATTATCAATAGGAAAAATAGAATACCATGATTTATATTTTGGATCATCATCTAAAAAGATGTTCTATATTGTTAAATATCAATAAGATTATTAATCTTACCATTTCCATTCTCTAAATAATCTGTATTTTTTCCTAAAAAATAAAATCCATGATATATATTTATTTCTATTTGTAAGTATAATTCATACCGAATACACTTTTTTGAAAACTTGCTAATGAACGATAGTTTGTTGTTGGTACCCAAGCACAATATCGAATTTTAGGAGTATTTAAATCAAGTTTATCTCGTAAAACTGAAGTATCAAATATAATATCATCTTCCCAACGTATTAAATTAACTGGTAATGATGCATTTCCTGTTAATTCATTATCATTTGTTACTTGTTCTTTTGATGCTTGAGTTTGTAATGTTTGAGGAGAATTTAATTTAAAACCATAATCATAGGATGATAAATCAAGACTTAAACCTATTTGATCATACCATAATCGAGCTGGACCAACACGCCAATTAGGTATTTTCATATCGGTTTGTGATGTATCATGTTCATCTGATATGGGTTCATTGATAACTGGAGGTAAACGACCAAGAAATTGTGTCTGAAAAAATACAAAAATTTGGTTTTTTCTTAAATATACAAAAATAAAATACTTCTTGATCAACTGCACATTCATTTATTGTTGCTTCACGAATTCGTGTATCGACATGCTGATAAAATAAAATATTAGTTAAAGAAAATTTATTTATATAAAATTTACTTCTTGAACAGATCGTTTACGTAGATTAACCCATGGTTTGGGTAAATGATTTGTTTTACCAGCACCGAATATTTTATTAAATTGAAGAATCTAAATAAGAGATAAAATTTATTCATAAAAGTTTTAGTATATATTTAAATACTAACTGCATTCGGTTTAAAATCTGGAAAAAGTTCTTCAGCTGTTTTTCCATCATATGTATTTGGTAACATTCCCGCCAATGGTTTTTTAATATCGATTGAACCCTAAAATAGTTCATTTATTTAAAAACATAAAAATTCTAATTCATACTTACATGAGCAATATCTGTTGTATCAAGTTCATCATCATCATCATCATCGTCATCATCATCATCTTCACTTGGTAAATCATCATCAGATATATGTTGTGATCCATGAACACCATCATCAGCTAAATCATCAAATAATCCCATATCATTAAATGAAGCCATTGGAAGAATTTGACGAGATACAATCGGTTTTACAATGACAATGTTTCATGATGAACTTATATAGGGAAATAACGCATTGAAATCAAAATATTCATTGGATAAATTTTTCAACCAATTAACGATTAAATTTATAGATGGGAGTATTGATCGGTAGTTTTACATGTAGATTTATCGTTTAGAAAATTTATTTAATTAATAAGTTTTTTGTTGTTTCAACTTAGATTTTTAGTAATATGGCTTTATGGTCTTCTAAGAACCAATATTTTTATCCGCAAGTAATGAAAAACATTTTTTTTTCATAAGAAACCATATTATATTTTTAATCAGAAACAACAAGAATTCATTGAGTGGTAAGACGTAATTACTTTTGAATATTAATTTTTTTTAAAGAGTATTACAAAGATTAAAGTTCATGAAAAATAACAGTAGACTGAAAGAGTGATTAATTTTCTTCATTTTGTTAATGTTATATTATATATTTAAAAAAAAGGTATTAATCCAAGGGAAAAGTAGCACAATTATTTTGCATAATATATAGAATGAGTTGAGTACTAAATGAAGACGTGTGAAAATGACAATTATTCAGTTAAATTAATGACATTTACCGAGGTATTTTGCTATAGAATTTTGAATATCTACAGAAATCGATGACTTAAAGGCATGTCAAATTATTCTTGTATGAAACGTAGATCAAATACTCGTTAAAATCAACACATCGAACATATTATAATTATGAGTATTTTTCTATAGGAAAAAGAGAGTTATAAAAAAATAATTGAAAGTTTGTTGAGTTCAATATTTTTGTAAAATTTCATAACAAACTATTTTTACAACTTTGATTAATGTGTATAAATAAATTCGTATCGCCGACAGATTTTTATTTAATATGAAACTTATTATATATGCTAATATAAATAAATGTACCATTCTCCTCTGGACAAATATTATTTCCAACCTAATAGATTTAGCACCGACAGAAAAGTACCTATAACATCGTTATCTATCTTATTTTTTCTACTAATAAAATTCGAAATCAATAATGTTTATATTTATCATTCTATACAAGTTCATATAGTCTAATCACTTTCATTAATATCTGTCTTATGAATCTATAAATAAATACATATTTATATGTAACAATATTCAACTATTACTTAATAATAAAGCTCTATTGTTATATTGAATGAGAACGATATTTTTCGTCTATTATTAAAAATTAGCCATATTGATTTTTTTCTCACCGCTCATTTAACGTATGATCACACAGAAAAACACACTCGGAAACAGAAATCATTAAGTGGCATCATATATAAGTGATTTGTACTTGAGAAAGGAAAAAAAGTAGAAAGATGACGACTAAAACAACATATACTAGTCATTTATCATGATAGCTGATGAGAAGAAAACGATAAAGAAACAGTCGATTAGGTCGAGTCGAGAGTCCATTATTGTTTTGATCATTGGAGGCGGGTCGCAATCTGTTTCAAAATATCATTAGTATAAGGATACTTGAGCAAATCAATTCTTTTTGTTTTTTTGTCAAACATTCAAATACACTATTGATTTATATACTCAATTTACATTCATTATTTAAAGATAGAACTCGTATAGTCAATATTGAAAAAATTAATCAAATAATAAACAAAAAAATAGAACACAAATCTCAAGCGAATTGATGTTGTTACTTTAATTGACTTGCTCTCTTTGATTTTCCTTCCGTCTGATAAATTAGTTTGCGTGTTTTATTAACTTCCTTCTTTGTTCATAATACTAACATGCAAAAGACTTTTTCTCTATTCATTATGAATCCATGATTACCTCTATTCATCATTAATTTTCTTGAAAGGTGATAATCTACTATACTACATGAGCTTATTTGATGCGTACAAATAATATCTATTAGTTATCCTTCAATAAAAGATTTGTATGAATAAAAAAAAGAATTTATGATTTGATTGAGATTATTTTATTTATATTACATATATATATAGTACAGAAGAAATATCTATAGTATTCATCGTGTCGAATTAATTGGAATTATATTTCTTGCTTGTATATTTGGTAAATTATACGTACATTGATCAACGGGAGTTCTAGAAAAGAAACATATGAATTAGTTATGCATGACAAAAAAAGTCAATAAGATGATTCATACCTTGAGACATTAGCCGATGGTGATCTTGGGTCATTGAAAGGGATGTCAGATTTGGCCTCTGTCATGTCAAGTAATGGAACTTTGTAGATATTTTTAAAACGACGTTGTACACTACTCATATTGCGGGTTGAATAATAAAAATCGTTTGTCGTCGGATGTTTTTCTGAATATGACTATACTCACCAAGGTTTTATATATACGATAAACCTGTAGTTATTTTTTTTTCT